AAAATTTGTTTCGTTTAACAGACGGTTGAAGTATTCTCTCCACTGTAGCTTGATCTCATCTTGTTCAAGAACCATCTCATTTTTGACATTTTTGATACATGAGGCACCAACTATGTCTTTTTTCTTACGCTTTGCTTGTTTTGCTATACGATACAAAGATTTCATTTAATCACTGTTGCTTTTAGTGGGACACTGTCTGCTCTGATCTGTCCAAGCCAGTGCAATTTGACGTCTTGCATAGTTGTTCTTCTCCCGGAAAATTTTATGGTCATCAACAGACTTTGATTTTTGCAGCTTCCTTTTCAGCTATTGCATTTTGTACACTGTTATTCTACCACCAAGTGTCCCGTTCATGTTGACTTTTTTTACCAGTTTTCCCACAAACTGTAGTTGCAGCGTTTATCAAAACGGTTTTGTATGTACAGCAAAGAAATCAGTTTACGTGGCTGATGGTCCACTTTAGTATGTTATGAGATGTTCCAACCTTTTTCTAAAATATGTGTTCAGTAAACAATACTCGTGACTTTCAGCAAACTCAAGGATGCGGTTGCCATCTTCATTTCGTTTTGCATAGCCAAAACCGCCATGTACGTTGTCAAAACCATCTGTTTTCTCTCCAACGTGGCCATTGAGATCGCCTCCAATCAGGATTGTTTCAGATTTTGGTATTGTTGAGATTTAGTATTGTTTCATTGTCATTCGCCTGTATGTGGTGCGTATGCAGAAAAAATAATCATTGTTTGCTTTTCTATGCGAATCTTGATCCACATGAGACGTGAATTAATCCTTTTGATATCCAGTACTTCTTGGGCTAACGGTTCTCTGACAAAAATTCCAACACCATTTTTGGCCGTCTTTTGACCATTCCAGAAAAGTTCATATTTTTCACTGTCTGAGTTGATCTGGCAGACACCATTCGATTTTCATCGGATTTCCTGAGAGCAGCAGATGTCAATTCTTCTATGTTCGAACATTTCTGCGATTTCCATGCTGCAACAATGATCCAACATTGAACGTTCCATGTCTAAGTACCAAAGAGGGGCAATTCTGAGTTTTTCTGCAACATCCCTCCGCTATTGCATGCTTCCCAGGGATTCTTGGCACCCCTTTACCACTTAAGGCCTGCTGGGGACTAGGGGCTGTTGTTTTTTTTTGTGATGGCATAAAAGTAATTTGGGGAAAAGTTTTTACATCTGGAAACCCACCCTGACGACAACCACCAGTTATAAGCGCTCAAAAGCACGCAAGGCAGCTCAAAAGCACGTAAGGCAGCGTAGATGCAGTTTTATGTCATGCCCAGTACCAAATAATATGGTCCTGGGCATAACTGGTTCTGATTGTATATGTACCCTTAAAAGAAAAAAAACCATCATTCCACAAATTCATCTATCTATAACATTTATAAGAAAATAATTTACGATATCGTCATCGTGTCCAGTGGCAACCATCCACGCTTACTAACTTAGTTTCAAGTTCTAGTTTAGAGAAAATGTTACTAGTAATGTTACCTTCTGTTAAACGTGGAAATCCTGGAATTGAGTTTTTTCTTGCTGTTATTATTACTATTATTCAAGGTAATCTACAATATTCTTGAGTTCTCCTTCTTGTCCTTCTGCTTTCTCTTCTAATTCTTTATAATAAAAATGCTTTCAATTTCCATCTGTCTCCTGGCGTCAGATGAGGAAGGTCTCAACATCCGACTTTTTTTTCTAAAAATTTTTATTCGATGCCTTCAACTTCTCCAGTTCTTTGGATTTTAATTCGGGCTTTTTTTCAAGCGTGACTAGTTTATTATCTTTGCTTTTAGTTACGTCATTTTTGACTAGAACGAGCGCTCTTTCGTTTGAACTTATCGTAGATTCTGCGGTCTGTAGGGTAGATTCTAGAGTTGATATTTTTCCTTGGAGCTCCGAAATGACTTGTTTCTGCTTCCTAGATACCGCCACTTTTGAAAACTCAACATCCCAGCTGTCTCCTTCTCGGATTGCAAAAAATCATTCTCTTCTTCCAGCTTTTCGTTCGACTTGCGAAGCCGTTTGCTCTCCTCGATGTGATAGTTTAAAGTCTTCGTCAACCTCATGTTCATTTATAGAACTGTCTTCAATGTTTTGTCTAGGTCTCTTTTTTTAGCATTTAAACAAATTAGTAATATTTTTATGTATAATTACCTCGCTTTCATACAATATTACCTCACCTATGAACATTTTGCAGGCCCAAAACAAACGAACTGGCGTTATTAATACTAATAATACAAAAGAATACTACTTGGCACTACAGTAAAATTTACATCATAAATTAAGTAATAATAACAGTAATAATAATAATAATAATAAAATGGTAATCAATTATTTTTACTTTTCTTTGGTGAGATTGCCTAATTTATCATGGCCGATATATTTCTCATCGATTTTTTGTAGTTTTGACCTCACTAAGCTCTCTCTTTAGTAAATTGAATATAAACAGCTCGAATATTCAGCTTTTGTTATCAGCTGTTTGCACATGTTTAGAGTAAAATTGATAAAAACCCTGTAAAACTTAGAGTTAACAGTTATCACGCGTTATGGCCAAATTAAAATATAAATAAAAGACAAGCTCATTTATCTCACTAATTTTTTACAAAATTTTTATTTTCTAATGTCAAAATATTTTTTATTATTTTATTTTGAATAAAATTGTACAAAGAAAGATTCAAATTTTGTAAAATTGATACATCTGGCCTATGGCAGGTAATGGTTTACCAAAAATATATATATATAATAAATATATATATATAACCCATTATATATAATACATAAATACTCTCTCTCTGATATATCTCATATTATATATAATTATATAAGATCATATTATATATAATATTATACGCATTATATATAATACATAAATACTCTTTCTCTCTATCTCTGATAAACGAACGAAAGAAAGTGAAAGGCTTCAATCCTGGTAGATACAAAAAGCTGGACAATACAATATGCTTAGATGCAAAAGGTGGTTGAATGAAATCATTGAAAAGATGTAAAACAGATGTAATGCAAATGCAAAGTATAAACACATTCAAGAAATCACAGGATAAAGGGCTTGTACCGTTTCTGGATGAATAAAAGCTAAATCAGATAAAGTAATCTTAGAGAAAGAAAAAATTACTTTTATGATTGACTGAATACATTAACGATCCTTTCGACGATATCCGTGTTAAAAAGACGTAGAAAGACCAAAAATACTTTGATGTAAAGTTCGTGCCGTTCTTTGCAAAATGAAATCAAATAAAGCACTAAACTCAGATGAGAATTGTTGAAGAAATTAAATGCCTTGATGAATTTGGCATTGAAAACGTGACAGAAATTTTGAATGAGATATATAACGACGGCGATATTCCTGGAGATTTATCCAAGTCAATATTTATTGCATTGCTAAAAAACCTAAAGCAACAGAATGTGAACTATATCGAACAATTAGCTTGATGAGTCATCTTATAAAACTTCTTTTGAAAATTTTTATGATGAGAGCACGAAACAAATAAGATCTGAAATTTTGAATGTCCTATGTGGTTTTGTCGAGGATTGTTGCACAAGAAACGCTATCTTTATGATATGAATGATCAGTGAACGAGCGATTGAAATGAACAAAGACATTATTATATGTTTCATTGACTACTCCAAAGCTTTTGATAGCGTGAAACAAGTGGAGTTTATAGAAAGATTGAAAAATATGGATATTGATGGAAAAGACCCTATCTATATTGGGGCCAGAACAGCGATAAAAGTTGGTAACAAAGTGATAAGTTTTGTCGAAACAAATAATGGTGTTAGGCGAGGCTGTGTATTCTTTCCAGACCTGTACAATCTTTATAGTGAGATCATCATGAGAAAGATAGATCTACCTGGATTATCCATTGAATGCTTGAATATAAACAATGTATGATATGTTTAGTATACAGCTCTTATAGTGGAATCAATGGAAACAGGTAAAACAAGTCAACAGCTTCAATTATTTTGGAAGTCTGTTACTACTGTCAATCGCAAACCACAAAGAATATTGTCGCTGCAACCTCATACAGCTCACAGTGTACATATAAGCAGATTTCAATAAATTCACAAACTGATCAAGGATGTCCAAGACACGAGAACAAAAGCCACATACGTTTTTTGACAGTGCTATACGTAGGCCATTCAAAACAATCGACTAAATTAACATCGAGTCTGCAGCCAAAGAATTTGTTTAACAAGCATGTTTTTTATTGGTAGATTTGTTTATTGGTAGATTTGTCTGGTGTATTGTTTTTTTTCCGTTAAGATTGCAGTAGAGGACGGATACAATTGAATAAAACTATAAGTTAAAACTTTTCTTAGAACGGGCTTTTATTATTTTGTATGTTTTTGCATTCACGACACAAACCTTTGTTTTTTAAACAAATTGATAATTTTTTTTCGATTTTTGAAAGTTAATATAAAGCTTAAGTTTTAATTTCAGAATTTGGTCAGAGGATCTCTGAGCTTTGGTGAACATGGTCTGTTAGACGAATCTTATAAAATTCTGATGAATATTTACAACCAATTTTTTAAGGTGATTATTTTTTCCGAAACACCAATAAACTTCAATTGATTTATTTTTTAATTAGAATTATATTCGAGTAAAGTAATTTTTTACAAGACGCTCAGGCAGTGTATATATAATATATATTGTTAATTAGATATTTTCAGATAAGACTATATAAAAACAAATGCAATTATTTTTATTTTCTAGTTAATTTTGTCAGTTTTTTTTATTTTCAATGATTTCAGTTTTTTATTCAAATTAATTATAAATATTTTGTAATTAACATTTATCGTTTAACAATTATAATTATAAATAATTATAAATATTTTGTAATTAATATTTATCGTTTAACAATTTTTTATATAATATTAATATATATAATCATTTATATAATATAATAATTTTTATATAATAATAATATATATAATAATTTTTAATATAAACTATTCTGGAATGGTCAAAAGAGGGTCAAAAATGGTGTTGGAATTTTTGTCAGAGAACCGCTAGCCCAAGAAGTACTGGATATTGAAAGAATTAATTCACGTCTCATGTGGATCAAGCTTCCCCTAGAAAAGCAAATAATGATTATTTTTTCTGCATACGCACCACAGACAGGCGAATCAGAAGAGATGAAAAATGACTTTTGGGCTGCGTTCTCTGACAGCATCTCAACAATACCAAAATCTGAAACAATCCTGATTGGAGGCGCTCTCAATGGCCACGTTGGAGAAAAAACAGATGGTTTTGACAACGTACATGGCGGTTTTGGCTATGAAGAACGGAATGAAGATGTCAACCGCATCCTTAAGTTTGCTGAAAGTTTACAGTTTTGTTTACTGAACACATATTTTAGAAAGAGGTTAGAACATCTCATAACATATAAAAGTGGACCATCAGCCACGAAAATTGATTTTTTTGCTGTCAGGCAAAAACAACGAAGGCTATTCAAAAATGTAAAAGTTATACCTGGCCAATCATGTGTCGCCCAACATAGACTTCTTGAGCCAGTACAGATTGGAGTACATACAAAACCGTTTTGATGAACGCTGCAACTACAGTTTGTGGGAAAATTGGTACAAAACTTCAGCATGAACGGGACACTTGGTGATGGAATGACAATGTACAAAATGCAATAGCTGAAAAGAAAACTGCATACAAGATGGCAAAAATTAAAGTCTGGTGATGACCATAAAATTTTCCGTGAAAAGAACAAATATGCAAGACGTTAAGTCGCACTGGCTCGGACAGATCAGTGCATAGAGTGGCTCACTAAAAGTATCTCTGTATCGTATAGCAAAACAAGCAAAGCGTGCGAAAAAAGACAGTTGGTGCCCTATGTATCAAAAACGACAAAAATGAGATGGTTCTTGAACAAGATGAGATCAACAATATATATATATATATAAATATTGTCCAATTATATATATAAAATTATGGTTAAGACTGTCATAGATACAATCATTAAGAAATATCACTGGCTCCCTTATTCATTTTGCGATGATCCATTGTTTTTGTTTATTATTAGTTTCGTTGTCAGCAGCCAAGTTACTGCGTTCTCTTATATAATTATTACAGGGTTTTTTTAGTTTATGGAAATATGTTTTTTTAATGTTTACGTGTATATGTGTGTTTGTGTGTATGAGAAGTTATTGTATATTTGGTTATTGTTTATAAAGATGTCGTGCCGTATTATGATAATGATAAAGTGCTTCTGCAATTTAAGTTGAAAAGTATTCCTATTGTGATACATTATTTTTGTGCTATCGTTGAATTGCCTAGTAATCGTCTAGTAATTGCAGTTCCGTGAATATTCTGAAATTTGGTGGTGACTACTTTTCATTACTGTTTTTTGTTTCTTATTACTATTATTTTTAAGATTAAGGGAAGAAATTCTATTGTTGGCATAGTTGTAATTTATCATTACAATCGGTTGTTTTGACCTTCTTTATGACTATTTTTCTTCATATTTTTTCATCCGTTTTATATGACGTAGACATAAAGTTTTTATAATTTATTGTTATATTATTAGCTTTAGTGGATTGGTTCATATCATCTTGCTGCTCTCTTTTTATGATTATCAAATCAATGAGTGAATTTTCATAATCTTATTAATTTCTTTCTTCTTCAGTTCTTTTGTCTTATCTTCTAAATCTGTGCAGTGTGTAAAGGTTAACCAATGACGAAATCGTGCTTTTTAAATATGTTTCACAGCAAGCATTCACTATTCGTTTAAACATTCTCCTTTGTTGGTTGGTTTGGTATAAACGGAAGTTTTGAAATTATTGTTTATATTTTGAGCTAGAACAACCCAAAAAGGTAATTTATTTTCGGTTCAATTGTGAATTTTTATTTTGATTTATTGAACTCTTCCAGAAGTTGGTAAATAGTTTCATCATTGTTGTATGTGACGAAGATATCATTTACATATCGACCATATAGCTGAGGTTTGAGTGGCTGGTTTTTGGTGAATAAATTTTCTTTCGGATGTCCCATGCCGAAATTGGCAAACTAAACGCCCATTGGGGAGCCCATTGCAACTCCGTCTTTCTGTTTCCATGGCTTGTTATTTGAGATAAAGGTCAATTAAAAAGGTCAATTACACTCTTCCAAAGTTCAGAGGATTCAACAAAGCGCACAAACATCGTAAATTAATACGTGGTATACAACGCATCACACACGAAGCATGTGATAGGCGGGGATCTTTTTGTCATATTCGAAATCGATTACTGCGAAGCAGCGTCAGGCGACCTTAACCATTAGACCATCACGCCGCCCATATGATATATGATATAGAATGGTCTTTCATCATAAAAATTTTAAGAAGCTTTACAACGTTTGTGTCATAAAGTCTGTACTATCCACACCCCGCGACGCACATGTACATTACGTATGCACGCGCAAGCACTGAATTTTACCAGCACGATGGTCTTTTAGTTTTGAACAAATAATATTTGAACAGCTCGAAGAATAATATTTAGCAGCTCGAAACAGCAATTTTACCGAGAGAGCTAGCTCGGTAATCTTGCTAGCTTGTTGACCTTGCTAAGTCGGTTTTTAATGTCTTTAATTATCACTGTCTGTTTATCAGATGTTTAAATAGTAAAACTTTTGTGTTTCAGGTTGCAAATACAGAAGCTACATGGGGTATTTTAGCCAAAACTGTTTCTGGAAAAAAAACAATTCAGAGTTTTATTGATTACTACAAAAATTTTACTAGTTCTTTCAAGGGTTATTTTATATTTTTAATATTTATAGATTGGAAAGCCATTTTGTGAATTTGCTATGAAAAAATTGTTTGTTACTTGGTTTTTTAAGATATCATATTTTTTAAGATTTCATATTTTAATACAGCTAATAAGAAAATAAATCGAACCGAAATCCTGCGTTGTTCTGGTTTAGATAATATAAAGGACGAATGCCGGCAACACCGTCTGAGGTGGTTTAGTCATGTCAAACGAAGTGGAAACAGTGCCATAACTTCTCTTACAGATGTTGAAGTACCTTGCACACGTTCCAAAGGCCGTCCAAAGAAGTCCTGGTCGCAAACAATCGAGCAAGACATGAAAGCTCTAAATTTAAATGAAATGGATACAACTGATCGCCTAATTTGGCGCAAAAAGTTGATGGCAAAGAAAACACCGTCCTACCTTGGGAGAATTTGGTCTCTGGACGTGGACGCTAAACGAAGATTGATTGATTGATTAATTTAATAAGAAATTAAATATAATTAAAAAGAGTAGTAATAACTAGCATAATAAATCTTATTCTAATGGGATTAATACTGCAAACTTTAACGCTGGTTACTACCAACACCAATGTTATAACTTCAATGATCTCTATTATTCCAACATCAGTGTTGTAGCTTCTAACGATCGTCAAGTTATCGTTATTCCGTAAGTTCAAGATTTTTGATAGATGAACACAACTGCTTCAAACGCAAACTTTGTTGAACGTTTATTTGATTACCAACAGTAATAGAAACACTTATCTAATCCAATTAACTACATAAATAACATTTGCGATTTTGCTTCAAACCTCGCTGGAAATCTCTCTCTATTACAAGTCTTTATATAGCTTCTACAGTAGATTATTACACTAACAAAATTTCAAATATAGCAAAGAAATAGCAATGATAACAAAAAATATAGCGCAATTTGACAATTGCGGCGGTTATAATATTACCCTTACCTTAGCCTGTTAGTCCCTAACATGAGAGCTATGAGCTTTTCCTTCTAATACCCTCTTCAGAAAACGCACAAAACACCATATTCTTTACAAAAGTGGATCTGTATCCACTCAAATCGACTACATGTGAAACAAAGTGACAGAAAGATGATTCACAATGTCAAGGTGGTACCAAGTGAAGCATGCATACCGCATTAGTAGCCGATATACTTTTGAAAGAGGAAGTAAAGCGGCTAAAAGAAACCAGTCAAAAATAAAAACGTGGAAATTGAAATATACAGAACATAAGAAAAAGTTTGAAGAACTTGTCATAGATTTGCTTGGTCTCCAACCCAATAGAGGTTGGCAAAAAGACAAAGTATGTCTCATCAAAGCCGCTGTAACAATATGTGGGAAAACTAGTGAAAGGCGACAAAACGAACGGAGAACGTGGTGGTGGAACACTGATGTCCAAAAAGCTATAGCAGAAAAAGAAAGCTGCTTTCAAGCGGTGGCAACACTCAAAGCTTGCTGTTGATCAGAAGGCATATCGTGACAAGAACTCAGCTGCAAAACTACAGGTATCAATAGCCCGCAATGTCAAGACTAGTTTGCAAAAAGCAAAGGAGAGCAAAGCAAGCAGCTAGATCGAAAAAAAATTGTTGGCGCATCATGCATCAAAGACAACAATGAAAAAAGGTACTTTGAACATGATGACATCAAAAACCAATCGAGATCATATTTCAATGGCCTATTGAATGAGACAAACCCAATCAGTGTGGATTTTAATGCCGATTTAATTGTGGGTCCCATTCTGAATGTCTCTGCAGCTGAACTAACTTTTGCCTTAAAAGTTATTAAAAATGGAAAGACTGCTGACCCAACGGGTATCATGAAGCATCTGGCAATTTTGGTTTCAAAAAGCTACCACAGCTCTGCCGCGAGTTCTGGGGTTGTTGAGCGATGCCAAATGAATGGAGCTCAAGCACAAAACTGCCCTTATATAAAAACAAAGGTAAATAAACTGTTCATCCTATCGAGAAATTCGATTACTTTATTAATTAGTATTGTTATAGTTTTAATATTATTAAAAATATATACAAAAAATTCGAAAAAGAATAATGAAATTCTAATGAAAAATTTTAACAATGAAAAATTTAATTTTTGAACGATAGTTGCCAAGGCAGCAAAAACAGCGTTAAAATTGTGAAGTGCGAAATTAATTCAATTTATTATTATTATTGGTGTCCTGGTTATGAGTGTCCTGGTTATGACATTAAACTAACCCTCACTGCCTTGTGAGTGATGTTGGATCATCAAAGACTAGGCTCACCGCTTATAACTGTGGTTGCGTAAGGAAGGGCGTCCTGCGTAAAAATTAGCCAAATAAATTACTTATGATGACAAAAGTGACAATGGCCCTCAGTATCCGGCAGAATGGCGTCGAGGGGTATTTCGGTTTCATCATAGGTAGCCAAACGGCAACTCCCGATCTCGGGGAAAATGTCTAAACGTGTGTTGTTGTTGTTGTTTTTCTTATTATTGTTATTATTATTGTTATTGTTATTATTATTATTTTATTATTATTGTTATTATTATTTTATACAGTTTTTACAAATTTTATCATTGCGCATTATTTAATTAACATTAACTTATATATATATATATTTTTATCATTGTATGTATTTTATGGTGAAAAATAAAAGATGTTCCCATTATTATTATTATTATTATTATTATTATTATTATTATTATTATTATTATTATTGTTGTTGTTGTTGATTATTATTATTGTTGATTATTGTATCGTGTAAACATGAGAAAGTTGGTCGATTTTAGTCTGCTCACTGTTTTTACCTACTTTAATTTGGTTTTATAAAGTTTAATAATATAAAAGTTAGTTGTGAAGATGCGGAAAATTCTGTCGGTTAAGCTAGTTTTAATAAAATCTAATTTTAAATATTTATTTAGTTTTATTTTGCTTTTAAATATAATTTCAACTGTTAACGCTGGTAAATGTCCACATTGTTTTAAAGAGTTTGTAAATGTAGGAAGACACTCCTGGAGGTGCACTAAAACAACGTTGAATAATAATGACAATTTTAATATACGCAGTTCACCAAAAAGTAATATTGTGATATCTCCTAACATTTTTAATAGTTCTAAAAAAAACGATATTTTAACTAATAATGAAAATAATTTAATTCCATGTTGTTGTGGTAAGAGTTGTGGTAAGAGTTGCAAGGGTAGGAAGGGCTTGAAATTACACCAACGTTCCTGCAAAATGTTTAAAAACCTTAGGAATGCACTAGAAACCCCAGAGGAATCTGACAAAAATTTGGAACTGTCGCCACCACCACAACGCGAACAAGCATCCCTTGAAAGGTTGGACAGCAACATCATGAAAACTCCTCTCATTGGAATAAAACTACCTAGACTCTAAAACATTGGAGGGAAGCAAATACATACTTCCAACTATACAGAACGTCCTTACCAAATGTATCCGACATCAACAATTTCACCACATCATTCCAATCACTGATCTACAATTATTTTGCATCCAACTACGGCACGGTAAAGCCACAAGAATTATCGACAACACAACACCCCAATAAAACAGTCAAAAACATGAAGAAGGACCTAAAACAGTTAAAATTACTTGGCCGCAACGACCACAGTTCGACATGAAAATCAGCACATTAAGCAAACAAATCTTTTAATCAATGAAAAATGCAAAAACTGAGAAACATGTCGACATAACAAAACAACTGAAAGTCAAATTCTGGTCAACATGCAAAAAATTGTTCAATCCATCAAACAGCTTAACTCCGTCATTCAGCATCGACGACTGCAAGAAATACTTTTACAACATACTCCACGATCCATTTCACAATAAGTTTCGCCTTCCGAACTGGGTTCCTACATTGCAACAACCAACAATTCCATGCAACATCGACCCCCCAACATACCACAAAATAGCAACAGTCATTAGAAAATGCAAACTTAGAGCATCCCCCTGTCCGCTCGATCAAATCTTAATAATTGTCTTCAAAAAATGCCCTATGCTGCAATTCACCAATTAATAGTTGAATGCTGGAGGTCTGCTACGATTCCATCCTGTTGGAGAAAGGGCTTCACCATTTTAATCTATAAAAAAGGTGACCCCAATGACCCAGCTAACTTTAGACCGATAACGCTCCAACCGGTTCTTTACAAGATCTTTTCTACATGCCTCAACAACAGAATACACAAATATCTGGAAAAAAACAGCTTTATCAACAGCTTCTTCAACAAAAGGGCTTCTATCCAAAATTGGACGGAGTGACGGAACACACTCATCTACTTACCCACCTGATGAAAGATGCGAAAAAACATCATCGAACGATCATCGTCACCCTTCTAGATCTCAGAAATGCATTTGGTGAGGTTAGTCACGATCTCATCTCATCTGTTCTAAAATACCATCATATACCGGACCAGATGTGCAACTTAATTGATCCTATTTATGCTGACTATTCAACAACAGTATCAGTACGCGAGCAGTTAACTCCACCAATCCCTGTGAAACGTGGAGTGCTGCAGGTTGACCCCTGTTCACCTCTTCTTTTTAACCTCTGTTTCTACCCTCTAATGAGGATGTTGGAAAGAAAAGAATATGAACAATGTGGATACCTATGGGGCCCTGCGGCTAATCTAAAATCCAGAGCATGGCTGCAATTCGCTGACGATACAGCTATTATAACAAACAGCTCTGATGGTGCCCAGACTCTAATCAATCTCAACCAATCCTGGTGCAAATGGTCTGGCATGAAGATAAGAGTCGACAAGTGTTGCACATTCGGGATGCGAAAGCGGGTTGGCGCATATGAACAATTTCTGCCGAAGCTAACAATAGACGACGAAACAATACCTCAGATAGGCGTCGATGATAGGTTTGAGTATCTGGGTAAATCTTATGATTTTGAGTGCAAAAACGTCAAGGAAAAAGAGATGCTCCGAAAGAAGCTAACGGATATGCTGCAAGTAATCAGCGACTTTAATACAACAGCTCAATGGAAACTTCAAATCCTACGTCGCTTCATTCCGTCTCAATTATCATTCCAATTGCGATTATACGATATTTCGCTAACTTGGATAGGTAACAGCCTAGACCCGTTGATATGCGAAGCTGTAAGAGATTGGTTGTCTCTTCCCGTAAGTAGTTGTGTTGCTGAAGTTTTGTCGTTGCCTTACAAAAGTGGAGGGTTAAACATAAAATCGCTAAAACATCACACAGAGCTAATGAGATTAAAACTTCGGGGACACTTAAAAACAAACACCAGGGAAGAAATGAGAGTTTTGTGGCAGGAATCAAAGAACGAATACAAAAAAGTCGACAACCAAATCCAAAGCAACGATATTCAAATGGCGTGCAAAATGACTTCAACCATCTATCGTCGCTACAATGCCAAGGAACATTGATAAAGTCGGTTAAGGAAAACATTTACGACTCAGAGATCACCCGTTGGGCTAATGCAACATAATCCCTGCCAGATGTTTTATACAAATTCACAAGGAAATATCTCATTCAACAACTACCAACCAACGCTAACCTAGTCAAATGGAAAAAAACGAATAACGCAGCATGCTCCCTCTGTAGCGCCAAGGAAACAAAAAAGCATGTAGTATCAAACTGTGGTTCGCCATCTGCACTCGCTAGGTACTTAAATCGCCACAATAAAATACTTGCCATCATCTTAAACAACATCAAATCATGCATCGCGCCTGGAGCAATCATTTTTGCGGATATCGAAAAAGAATCGATCCGCCCTATGTCGCAACTGTTTACCTCGCTCAGACCAGACATAGCAATCTTGTACAAAAAAACGATTGAAATACTGGAACTAACAGTATGTCATGAAACCAATTACACCAAATCAAGAAACTACAAAGTGGATAAGTACAAGAACAACCTCAAGAATAACCTATCGAACGATTTTAAGCATTGCGATATTTTAATCAACACTTTTGAAATTTCGCCAATAGGACTTTATAATTCTCTCAATTTATCTCAAACTAAAATAAACTGGCATGACGATTTTAGATTTAGCTTAATCAATTCTGCGATAGCACCTACTTACGCAATATATTGTGACAGAAACAAAGCTTGACTCTAGGTTTTATATTATTTTATCATCCTTGTACACATTCATAATGACGAGCATTGATGTTAATTATCCATTATTTTAATCTTTTAACTATTATAATAATTGATCATTTTATATTTAATTGTAATTTCTTTTTTTTAATTTTTTTAACTTATATTTTGGCTTATGAAGAAATAAAAGAGTTCTCATTATTATTATTGTTATTATTGTTATTATTATTATTAAGGTTTTGAATTTGGCTGCCATTGGTTTGGAATTAATTTTTTAATTTAATTTTAACATTTAATTTCAAATTATTTAAAAAATAGCTAATATCGATATATACAGCAACAAACGTTAAGCTATTGTTAAAATGGCCATTCCTGGCTCTTTACGCTTTTGTGTTAGAAAATGTATGTACTGTGTGTTGTTGCGACATTTGAAATTACTCCGATCGGCTTTTTTAATATTTTAAATTTAATGTCTATTATAATTTCATGGTCTAATACACTTATTGACAAATTGATCAACTCTGTAATTAAATCGCTATATATTGCGACAGAAACATTGTATGACCATTTTAAATAAGCCTCCTATTTGCACTTGTCAAATGATAATGAGTAATAGGGTTTTATCGTATACTTGATTATTTTTTTTTTAATTAGTGTTTTATCTGGATTTTTATTTGTATATATATTGAATATTGTATTATTATGTATGTTTTATGATATTTGATTGAATAAAAGAAGTGTTCCCATTATTATTATTATTATTATTATTATTATTATTATTATTATTATTATTATTATTATTATTATTATTATTATTATTATTATTATGTTGACTGGCAAGAGAGTTGGCCGATAAACGTCCAACTTACTGCTAGATGGCATAACCATAGTTTATTAGGTTTTAACTGGTTAAAAATAGGTCCAAAATGATTGTAGCAATTAGTTGAATAAAGGTTTTGAATTTGGCTGCCATTGGTTTGGAACTAATATTTTAATTTAATTTTAACATTTAATTTCAAATTATTTAATAAATAACTGATATCAATATATACAGCAACAAACGTTAAGCTTTTGTTAAAATGGCCATTCTTGGCTCTGTACGCTTTTGTGTTAGAAAATGTATGTACTGTGTGTTGTTGCGACTTAAAATAAAATATTAATATTTCTACTTTAATTTAATAATAATTATGTTGACGATAAATCTAATTCAATAACAAAAAATTTGAAGTAATAATAATGATATTAATAATGGTAGCAATAACAATATAAGAATAATAATGGATATTGTATCATCATGTTTGGCATCCACGAGAGAGACGCCGGACGAGGGGGCAGGACCCGACTCTCCCCTCATAAACAGGCAGCCGACCTCTGCTACAATGCTCAGTCCTGGAACATCACTACATTACATCAACAATTGCGAAAGAAGCACCAGATTTCCCATTCCAATTGAAAGAAAACTGAACTGGAACAGATGATTGATGAGATTTGAGTGTTTTATTTTCACATTAATAACTCTATATTTGCATGTACGTACGTTTTAAAACTCAATTTAAATATTAAACTGACCTACTCTAGTTGTACACATTCTATACTATGTCGAGCAATATAGAGACAACGTTCAGACTGTATAAAATATATTATTGTCTTTTTATTAACTTTATTGCAACTCTATGTTCACCATAAAATTTGATTGATAACGCCAAAACAATAAAAATGATTGAACCCCAATTGAACAATTAAACCAGCCCCTCTAAAATGTACTCACTTGCAGTGACGAGCATTTTAGATTAAATAGGATTTTATAATTATTTCATTATTAATATTTGGTATTTGGAGTTAGAAAATAAAAGGATGTTCCCATTATTATTATTATTATTATTATTATTATTATTATTATTATTATTATTATTATTATTATTATTATTATTATTATTATTATTGCGTTGCCTAGTAAACAATAAAGTCGCTTTTACGTAACTTACTGTTTTTAAGCAATAATTAGTGTTTTTATCGACGTTTTAAAATTTAAATTTGGTTTAGCAGTTGCGCAAAATTTTGTTATTATGGCTGCCGTTTTAATTCAGAATTTGAATAAAAATAGGATTTTTTACAATTTAATTTGTTTTTTAATGGTTTTAAATCAAATAAATTTAATAGAAGCTACAATTTGTCCACATTGTTTCAAAGATTTTATTTCTCTTAACAGACACTCCTGGCGGTGCACAAAGGCAACTAATATAGAATCTACTAATGTAAACAATTTTGCAAACATTAATATTTCGTCTAGTCTGTTAAATACCAATAGTAATTCTGAAAATAATTTTGAAAATAATTTAAATAATACGTTGTCCTGTTGTTGTGGCAGGTCTTGCAGGGACAGAAAAGGATTAAAAATGCATCAAAGATCATGTAAAATGTTTAAATCCCTCAGGACAAATGTCGACTCTAAAGAATCGTCCGTTTCTTCAAGTCCAAACTGTTTTAATATCGAACATCAATCTACTCAGACGACTGTCTCGCAGCCTCTTCCAGGCGTCACACTGCCTAAATCAACTAAAGAATGGACCGAAGCCAACATAGCCTTCTACGTTAAAATGCAATGCTTAAATGACATAGACATTGATGATTTTGCTACCCATTTTCAGCAGATAATCTATTCATACTTTGCCAAAAACTACGGCCTCGTACAAAATAAATCAAAAAACAATCCGACAACAAACGCCTTAATCAACCAGTTAAAAAAAGAATTAATGAAATTAAAGGCGCAGAATGGTAAAAATGTTGTCAGCGAAATAATATCTCAACTAAGCAAAATGGTTTGCAATAAATTGAAATTAAAATCGTCAACTAAAATGTGTTCCAACAAAACTACATCCCAATTTAAAAATTGTTTTGGAAAACATGCAAGTCAACATTTTTAGCATCTGCAAAAGTACCTCCGCAATTCAATGTGATTGACGGCGAAAATTATTTCCGCAAAGGTTTGTCAGCGGAGTCACTCACAACATTCGAATTTCCTGATTGGATTCCACCTCTTCCGGAACCTTCATTCACAGGCAATCTTGAACAACCAACGTACTATTAAATCGCTGCCATCGTTCGGAGATGCAAAGCCAAAGCCACACCGTGTCCTCTCGACCAAATTTCAACAATTGCCTCTTAAAAGGTGTCAAATACTTTGCACATATCTTCACAAACTTAAATTTTCAGCCAGCCATAAAAAAAACCAAAGATCTATAGGTGTCAAATACTTTTCACATATCTTCACAAACTAATAGTTAAATGTTGGAATGCTACAATTCCATCCTGCTGGCGTAACGGTTTAACAATTTTAATCTACAAGAAAGGGGATACAGCCGACCCAGTCAATTACACTCCAACCAGTTCTATACAAAATATTTTCAACTTTAATAAAAAATAGATTATACAACTTTTTCCAAAAAAATAAATTTATCAACACAGACACGCAGAAAGTCTTCTACCCAACTATAGATGGTTTAGCTGAGCACACACAAATGCTAACTTATTTGATGAAAGATGCGAAAAAAACCAAAGATCGATAATTGTGGCTCTGCTGGATCAATGTCACAGCTGTTCAGCACTCTCCGACCGGACATTGCCATTTTACGCAACCAAAAGATAGAACTAACGGTATGCCACGAGACGAATCTGATTCAGTCCAAAACCTACAAACAATCAAAGTACAATAGCTTAAAATCATGCTTGAACGCTAACTATAAAAATTATTCTATTTTATTGAAAACATTTGAAGTTACTCCGATTGGATTTTTTAATACTTTTAATTTTACATTGATTAAAACTAATTGGCCTATATCATTAACTGATAAAATAATTGACTTAGTTATTAAATCGTCGTATGCCATTTATTGCGAAAGGAAAACTGTATAACCATTTTTAAATAAACTACCTCGAGCACTTATCCTAGATAATGAGCATTTGTGGTTTTATTATACTGTACAATGAAATTCTATTTTATTTTTATTTCATTTCCCCTATTGATTTATTGATAATGAAAAAAATTTAATTATTATTATTATTCAATTTGCCACGAAATCAACCTAGCTTCATCACGTGAATACAAACGCCAGAAATATAGAAACTTGAAATTAAACTTAAATTCAGTCGATAATAACTGTTCGTTAATTATTAATTCATTTGAAGCTGTGGGTTTTTATAATGATTTTTATCTAACTTTGTTTAAAATATTATGGCCGAAATCTTTTGATGAAAAACTGGTTAACGCGGTAATTTGCTCGTCATATTGTCACAGAAACACTATTTAACCGATTTTAAATATAATTTTTTACTCTGAAGCACTTGTTGATCAAAGAGCATGAGAGGATTGTACATTATATTTTACATCTTATTTATTTACACTCTGACATATGATTACAATTTTTGATTGATCTCATTTGAATTTTATCTTTTCGGTCAATAAAAGAATTTTATAATGATTTTAATCTAACACCATTACACAGTAATATTTCATTATTACTCACCATGCCCAAAAGAGACGGTGCAATAAAAAAACCATCTTGAAACTTTCCACAACACCCCAATAACAAGGAATCTTCTAGATAACAACCCAAAAATTTTATACAACAACCAACAGCACTACAACATAAGGATCGCAGAAGACATTTTCATCGAATCTGAAAAACCTTTCATCAACATCCAACAACGAATCACAACACTTCCAACTCGAAGAATGAACAATAATAACCGTAATCGGATCAACCAGCAATCTAACAATAATAATAATAATAAATTGAATTAATTTCGCGCCTCACAATTTTAATGCAGTTTTTGCTACCTTTATAAATTTTTAAATTTTTCATTGAAATTTCATGTTTCTTTTTCGAATTTATTTGTATATATTTTTAATAATATTAAAACTATAATAATACTTATTAATAAATTCATAAATAATGCACAGACAATGACGGTTTAACGTCGAAATAGATCTATCTGCAATAATTTTAATAAAAGGTTTATTAATAAAAATAAAATTTCAATTTTAAACAGACCTAACTTTGTTGATAAAAATTTACTAAGACAAATAAAATTATTACATATTGTCAAGAATTCGGTCTTCTCCCAGCATATATATATATATATATATATATATATATATTATAAAAGGGCCTGGTTTACGATCATCTCTTGTACTCACATCTTCTTAACTCTTGGTGAACACTCTTAGGCTAAATCTGCGTTTGCTTTTTTGACCTTTTTCTCTGGAACTTTCTACTTCCTTCTCTAACTACTTCTCTATCATTTACAAAGTTCAGAGCGAATTTCAAGACCCATCTGTATCCGTTTAAAAAATTCATTGAGGAGCGCTGTTAAATATTGCGGTAATGGTGTTTTAAAAACTAATTGATTGATTAATTAATTGATTACTTGATAAAATATAATAAAAACTGCAGATGGCAGTTTATACACGATTTGCATTTTGTTGCTAAGAAAGTCGATCGATTTTGGAGAAAAATAAATCCGATTTCAAAACCAGAATAAAGAATATTTCGTTATAAAACCCGGCTGAAAAGATGTTGTAGAAGAAATTCTCACAATCTATAGAGAGGGCTCAGAATTGAATGCAATATGGACACTGATGTTAAACAATCAGACAGAGCAGCTTTCGTTGTAAAGCCTGGATACATCAGGGTTTTAAAAAACTTTCACATTTAATACTAGTGAAGTATTTTTAAAACAGTTCAGGAGGTACAACCCAAGTTGAAATTTTCGTAGCATGCGTTTTATTTTATTTTTGTAAGAAGAGATTTGTTTTTTTAAAAGTTATGCATGCCATTTATAATATTGGATATTTTAAAGAGGTTTGAAGGCCAAGACTCACTGGTAACATTCGTGTTAAAATTAAACTGAAATACAATTGAGAAGTATATCGCTACAGAAATAATAAATTTTCAACTATAAATGTAACATATAAATATATGTTAAAAAAATTATAAATGCCAATTTGAATTTCAATAAAAAAATAAAAAAGGGCGGATGTTGAATGAGTAAATATAAATTAAACAAAATTAATAATTCTGTTTTCGTTTTTATCTATTTTCGTTTATATCTTCATGCTGGGGTGCATAGGCTATGAGGCGCGTAGTTAGGGTAATATCCTGGGCAGGGAGATCTTCTAGGATTGCATTGAATAATACGGAATAAGATGCCGCGAACCAAATGTACCAAAAGAAAGAAGACAGTGAAAGCAACAGCTGTATGTGGAAAATCTGGACTAAAACGCCAGCACAACCGCGAAACTTGATGGTGGAACGAGACGGTGCAAAATGCTATTGCCAGTAAGAAAGCAGCTTTCAAACAACGGCAGAAGACAAAGACTAATGAAGATCGAAGGACATACCGATCAAAGAACACAGAAGCGAAATTTTAGGTTGCGATAGCTTGTGCAAATCAATGCAGGTATGGTTGACTGGAAGTAAATGCAAACAAATTCGGTCACTCTACCGAATAGCAAACCAGACAAAAAAGACTGAAAAAGGATATAGTTAGTGCCACATGCATAAAGAATAATAAAGGCACCATAATAACCTTGCAAAATGAAGTGAAGGATCACTGGAAGAATTACTTCGATCAGTTATTGAATGAAACAAACCCCTTTGATGCATTTCCGGTGGACGGACCGATTCAGGGCATCACAGCTGAGGAGCTTACGGATGCGTTGAAAGCATTGAAGGTGGGTAGGCAGCTGGTTTTTTTGGACTTACAAATGATATCATCAAGGCGTCTGGTGGGACAGGCTTCCGAGCCCTCTTACAGATCTGTTGGGAAATGTGGAGTTAATCGATACTACCAGAGGAATGGAACAGTAGCACAGCTGTGCCGATATATATATATATATATATATATATATATATATATATAGAAAAAGGAAATCCACTAAAATGCTTTCATATCGGGGTAAACGTCTTCTGGAATATCCCCTGAAAGTTATAAAAAGTCATTGAGAGAAGACTGTTGATGCTACCTATATCATTTATAAACTACAAAAAAAATACATGGCAAAGCAAAAGCGACTCTTCCATCTCTTTGTGGACTTGGAAAAGGCTCGTGAGGCAATCAGGTGGAGTGTACGTAGACAGCTTGTTTTTGAATATCTGGTTCGGCTGGTTATAGCAAGGAACTCTAACACAAAAACTCTGGTCAGCAAAACAGCCGGTAACACAAATGAATTTGACATTAACGTCAGCGTCCATCAGCCCCCTGCTCTTCATCACGGTGATGAAAGAAATAACCAAACCGATACGCTCAGATATGATAACATATGGAATGTGATATATGCAGATGATATCGTCCTGACGGCGGCCTCTAAACAAGACGCAGCTAGAAAGTTAGAGGTCTGGAATACCCAGCTCGCTGAACACGGGCTAACGTAAACCTTGACAAAACAAAAACTATGATCGCCGGTGTTACCGATGAGCCTGTGGTCTGGTCATTGGCCACGTTCGATGTGTGAGACTGGAGTTGGAAACATCTCGATCAAATGCCTGCGATGTCAGCAGTGGTGTCACAGACGATGCTCGAGAATTACCGACTCACTGAGGAAAGTGACTGATTTCGTATGCCCCGCCTGCATCAACCCGCGACAAAGAAGCCCAGATAATGATACGATCACCGGGATCAAAACTGTTACTTCATTTCAGTATTTGTGAGATGTGCTGGATTGTAATGGAACAGCTGATACCGCCGTTCCTGGACGCATACGTGCAGCGGTGGGCAGATGGCACCTCCTGGCCTTGGTATTGATGCAGCGTAGCATTTCTCTACCGCCGTGCTCAAAGCTATACAACACAGCTGTACGTTCTGTTCTAATGTATGGTGCAGAGACGTGGCCGATGACAACAAAACTCGAACAGCAGCTTTACCGAACTGACATGAAGATGATTCATTGGATGCAACACGTTGACCTAAGGCACCATACCCATACAACCGAGATCCTGAACCGATCGGGACTGTTCATGTTGAAGGATACATGTCGTCGTCATCGTCTACGATGATTTGGCAATGTGAATCGAAGCGAAAACGATACAATAATTTCCGTTGCTGAGCACCAGGTGCCTGGCACCCGCCCAAGAGGTCGCCAAAAAAGTCCTGGACGCAGACCATACAGGAAGGTTTGAAGGCACTTGGTCTCAAGGAGACAGACGCAGTGGATAGATCGGCTTGGAGACAGAAGCTGATGAATAAGATACAAGAGTCCGACCCATAACGGATGGAGACTATAAACGAGAATTGATATTGTTTTTATCTATTACATTACAAATAAATTATATTATCGCTCTTTTGAAAACCGAGATCATTACTTTTTATGTAGATTTAAAATCTTTGTACCAAAAATTTACCGGATTTTTCTCACTTTTCACGCAACAGCATCTTAAGTAAGTCCATTTTTTCACGTTTAGTACTCAAAGACGATCTCTTGATATAATTCACCTAAAACAGTAAATAATTCTTTTTTTATCCGTTTTGAGCGGCATAAAATCTAATTTTCTTTTCAAGACGTTTTTACCAACTGTTATTTAAATTTGCTTAAATTGTAAATTTTGTAAATTCTTTAATAGCTGCTAACGAAAGCGTGAAAGGAGTGGTAACGTTACCTCAGTTTGATCCGGTCATCAAATTAAAAAGCGTTGTTAAGGCTCAACAGTGTGTTCAACTGGCAATGAATGAATCTGTTTGTAGATCTTTGGAACGAACTGTCTTGAAATGGTGTACAATAATTCAACAGGTTAATAATATTTAATTTAAGATTGTAGTTTCTTGAAGAAAATTATTCTATAAAACTTTTTTGATACAATGAGTTTTATATTCAAATTAGATAATTAGAGCTCATATGTTAATGTTAATTGTAGCACAAATTAATATGCTAAGAGTTCTGATATTAATAATGGAAGTTTTAACTCTCATGTTACTTTTCAAGATTGTTCTTACTCTCATGTTACTTTTCAAGATTGTCTTTAGCAAAAGGATGAAATGTTTTCATCATTTTCATCTTATAGCATATTTGCGTACCCATTTCGATTCAAATAATGTGGTGCACTAATATATCTGCCCTGAATCCATTGATTAAGTTATTTTTTAAGAGAGAGTTTTTCACTTTTATCCTGTCTTACTTATTTACTTTTATCGTATCATATTTTACTGTCACTATTATGTATTGAAATCCTATAATGTTTTATTGTTATTACTCAAGATATCAGCAAACGGAAAAACGCAATTAGCCGACGCTTGAATTTTTTTTTCTAATTGACTCATTGTAACGTTGGAACTTGCGCTCTATCAATTGGGTAATATTTTTGCAAGTTTTAAGCTATTATATTCTCTGCTCACTTTTTTTCTCGCTTTTATAAACTTTACTACATCACCATGAGTACATCACCCGTTCAGATTAATTTAAACTGTCTCCGCATGTTGACCCGATTGAAATGCGTAAGAACACGTAGATTGTTCAATGTGAATTTTATCTTGTGTCTGAACTTTTTTCATTTTAAACTTTTAAAAAATTAAACTTAGTAAACGATTACATTTTTTTCGATTTTTCATTTTTTATAGCCAGTGTAAAAACAAAAAAAAACAAACTTGCACGTTTTCATAAAATTACATTTCGAAATTTATCCTCTAACCTGCATTTAATTGAACAATCTTTTATTTTTGTCACTATTTTTTTCAAGCCATTCTGAGTTTTTATTTATCAAATGTTTGTAATTTTTTATGAGAAAAAAAAAGAAAAAAAGATATTCTGGCAATTTTTTTAACGTTGTTGCAATTTTTCTGAAAATAATTCAATGCTAATTTGATTCAATTTTTGTCTCTATTTTAAAAAAATTTTAATTGGCCTGATGGCCTAGCCCCTGATGCTGTTTCTGAGTGACCAGGTTCGAAAATCAATCAATCAATCAATCTTCGTTTAGCGTCCAGAGACCCGGTTCCCCGAGGTAGGACATTGTTTTCTTTGCCATCAACATTTGCGCCAAATTAGACGATCAGTTGTATCCATTTCATTTAAATTTAGAGCTTTCATGTCTTGCTCGATTGTTTGCGACCAGGACTTTTTTGGACAGCCTTTGGGACGTGTGCCAGGTACTTCAACATCTGCAAGAGAAGTTATGGCACTTTTTCTACTTCGTTTGACATGACCAAACCACCGCAGATGGTGTTGCCGGCCTTAGTCCTCTATATCATCTAAACCAGCACGACGCAGGATTTCGGTAGATTTGATGTGGTCCTTCAGACTAATTCGTTGCATCCTTCGTAGCATTTTCATGTCGGTTCGTTGAAGTTGTTGTTCCAGTTTGGTTGTCAATGGCCATGTTTCTGCACCATATAACAACACCGGACGTATCACAGATTTATAAAGTCTTGAACGTAGTGGTAGTGGGATGTCACGCCGCATCAATATAGAGGGAAGGAGATGCCATTTATTTCAAGCTGCACGTTAGCGTGCTCGAACGGCAGCTTCAGCTGTTCCAGGACAAACCAGAACATCCCCTAGATATTGAAACAATGTGACTTTCTCTACCTTAATGGCTTCAAAAACATTGCTATTTCGAATTTGTTGTTGTGGATTGATGCAACCAGGACAAACAAAATTTTATATAAAGTACCAATTATTTTTGAACAACGTTTATGACACCACTGGTTACACTGCTGACACTTGATTGAATTGTTACCTACACCAGCTTTACAAAGTGAACAGGGCCATCGTCCAGTAGCTGTGGATTGGATGGGTTCACCAGTGTTCATTGCTTTGGTTTTGCTGATGTTGACTTTGAATCCATGATCGGCGAGTTCCAATCTTTAAACATCTGTGCTGCATTCTGCTCAGACGTGGATGTTAAAACGATATCATCAGCATAGACTAGATTTCAAATGTCACCAGTGCGTATTGGTTTTGTGATTTTTTCCATCACAGTTATAAATAACAGTGGACTGAGAATCGAGCCTTGGTGAACTCCAACGCCGATGTCAAATGCATCTGTGTTTCCAACCGTTGTGCTGACGAGAGTTTTAGTATTCGTATACATTTCTATCACAGGTTGAACAAGATATTTTTGAATGAGTTGTCGACGTAGACTCCACCTAATTGCTTCACGGGAAACTCGATCAAATGCTTTTTCAAGGTTTACAAAATGTGTGATAGTTGTTGATACTTTGCGAGGTTCTTCTCTTGCAGTTGCCAAAGGATGTGAATTGCTTCAATTGTTGATTTTTTCGATAATTTTCGATTGTGAAGCACGACGTTAATCTTCTTTCAGAGAGTGTTCTAACAGACGTATACCCTGATATGATGAACATTTAATGGATGACCTTTGCCTTTGTATAATTTCTCTCAATGATTTTTTCGACAATTTTTAGGGAGTGTTCTAGCAGACGTATACCCCGATATGATGAACAGTTCAATGGATCACTTTTGCCTTTGTATAGCGGGACTGTCACGCTATAGTTCCATTCAGTCGGCATTGAGCAATTTCTCCAGATTTCACGGAAAAAGTCCAGTAACGTTTGGATACCTGCAGTACCAGATGCTTTGATATTTGTGAGTCCAGAGGGCCCTGCTGCCTTTCCATTTTTCATAGCTTTCAGAGCTTTTGTAAGCTTTTGTAAGATGTCTGGAATCGGACCTTCGATGGGTGGAGCGTCAAAGTTAACATTGATGGTATTTGTTTCGTTTAACAGCTGTTGAAGTATTCTCTCCACTGTAGCTTGATTTTATCTTGTTCAATAAACCATCTCATTTTGGTCGTTTTTGATACATGAGGCACCAACTATGTCTTTTTTCGTACGCTTTGCCTGTTTTGCTATACGATACAGAGATTTCATTTGTTCACCTTTGCTCTTAGTGAGCCACTCTCTGCATAGTTGTTTTTTTCACGGAAAATTTTATGGTCATCAACAGACATTGATTTTTGCCATTGCTTGTATGCAACTTTCTTTTCATCTATTGCATTTTGTACACTGCCATTCCACCACCAAGTTTCTCGTTCGTGCTTGGGTTTTGTACCAGTTTTCCCACAAACTGTAGTTGCAGCGTTTATCAAAACGGTTTTCTATGTACTCCAATCTGTACTGGTTTGCGATTGATGGTCTAACTGTGTGGCGACAATCTGTTGAAATTTTTTAGATGCTTATTGCTTTTCAGCTTCCATGTTTTGATTCTTCCAGGCATTTATTTATACTTTTGTTTTGACAGTTAGAAAACCAGGTCTGCCACAAGGAGTCTGTTGGGCGACGCATGATTTGCCAGGTATAATTTTAACATTTTTGAATAGCCTTCGGTGTTGTTGCTTGACAGCGAAGAAATCAATTTGCGTGGCTGATGGTCTACTTTTGTATGTTATGAGATGTTCCAACCTCTTTCTAAAATATGTATTCAGTAAACAAAACCCGTGACTTTCAGCCAACTCAAGGATGCGGTTGCCATCTTCATTCCGTTCTCCATAGCCGAAACCGCCATGTACGTTGTCAAAACCATCTGTTTTCTCTTCAACGTGGGCATTGAGATCGCCTCCAATCAGGATGGTTTCAGATTTTGGTATTGTTGAGATGGTGTCAGAGAATGCAGTCCAGAAGTCATTTTTAATCTCTTCTGATTTGCCTGTCTGTGGTACGTATGCAGAAAAGATAATCATTGTTTGCTTTTCTAGGCGAAGCTTGATCCACCTGAGATATTAATTAATCTTTTTAATATCCAGTTCTTCTTGGGCTAGCGGTTTTCTTACAAATATTCCAACACCCTTTTTGCCCGACTTTTGACCATTCCAGAATAGCTTATATTTTCCATTGTCTGAGTTGACATGACAGACACCATTCGATTTCCACCGGGTTTCCTGAAGGCAGCAGATGTCGATCCTTCTACGCTCGATCATTTCTGCGATTTCCATGCTGCGGCCAGTAAGTGATCCAACATTGAGCGTTCCAAGTCTAAGTACCATAGAGGGACCATTCTGAATTTTTCTGCAACATCTCTCCTCTATTGCATACTTCCCAGGGATTCTTGGCACCCCTTGACCACTTAAGGCCTACTGGGGACTAGGATCCGTTGTTTTTCTTTGTGATGGCATGAGAGTAATTTGGAGAAAAGTTTTTACATCCGGACACCCATCCTGACGACAACCACCAGTTATAAGCGGTGGGCCTAGCCTTTTGCTCAAAAGCACGCAACGCAGCGTGGATGCAGTTTTATGTCATGCCCGGGACCAATCTTAAACTCTTCATAAACTATCTTTTAAATTCTTCAGAAATAATTACAAACTTTTTGATACTTTGATATTTCAAATAATTTAGAGACTATGGCAAACTCAGCAACTAACTTTCAAACTCTTCAGAAACAATTTAGCACGGAATTATAATGATAAAAATTTTCAAGTGAAATAAAAAAAAATTTAAAAGAGTGTACGTCAGGTAGGAGAGCAGGGTAGTTTTGAAAGAATCTTTCACAAACGTCTTTTGGTACATCTCCATCCTGATAAAATCACTAACCTTCTCATATTCCTTAACATAGCTTTTTTTCTCAAACGATAAATTCTCGAAAATGACATAAAATATAATTCAATACTCGAAGAAATTTGAGGCCATGATTGTAGAATGGCTATACAAAATCATATCACAAAATCTCGAAAATGACAAAAAGATTTCTGCCTATCACATTTTTCGTGTTTAGCGTGTGTTCATGTTTGATGTTGAATGTTGTTGATTTTTCTGAACCTAGGAAGAGTGTAAATAACTTTTAACCTTTTTTTATTTTCTATAATTTGTACCCCGTGCTTTTATTATGTTTTGTTACGGAATGTTTGTAATTATAAACTTTTTAGTTTATTGTTTTTATTTATACTCTATACTCTATATTAATTGAACCTAAACGCCCCGGTTTACGATCGTCTTCTTCTTCTCGCTTTTTCTTAACTCGTGTTAAACACTCTTTTGCCAAATCTGCTTTTGCTTTTTCTGGTCCTTTTCTCTGAAACTCTTTACCTACTTCTCTGACTACTTCTCCATCACTTGCGAAGTTCGGAGCGGATCTCAAGACCCATCTGTTTTAAAAATTCATTGAGGAGCACTGTTGAACATCGCGGAAATAGCGCTTTATAAGCTAATTGATTGATTGATTGATTATTTGTTTTTGTAATATAATTTATTTTGTTTTCTAGACTTTAATGTCCAGCTCAGAAATGAGAGTCGATAGAGACAACGAAGGACCTCTTATAGAATTGGAATATTGGAGGCATTTGAACATAAAGTATAATTCAATACTCGAAGAAATTCGAGGCCATGATTGTAGAATGGCTATACAAGTACTACATATCACAAAATCTCGAATACTCAAAGTAAAAAATTTTGTAGAGATATATTATCGTACTATTATTTGCCCATTAAATTCATTTGTTACCAAATAATAAATCATTAAATATTTTGTTGTTAAATGTTTTCATATTCTATTAAATTTTTAAGTTTAATTATTTGTAAATCAGACATGGAGAGATACTAACGACAAATTGACAGATGTAGCAAATGAAGCTCGAGATAATGTTACTTATCTTTACTCTCTAGAAAAATATTGCAAGGTATAATTATCACATTTTTTTGTTATATATATATATATAATTATAAAATTAGGGTTGACACTATCAATCAATCTTCGTTTTGCGTCCAGAGACCCGGTTCCCCGAGGTAGGACGTTGTTTTCTTTGCCATCAACTTTTTGCTTTTTGCAAACCGTTGACAAAGGGTTGACACTGTCGTAGATACAATTGTTAAGAAATTTTACATCATTGTTGTTTTTGTCGAGGTACTTTTTTCGTAATAGTGCCTATTTAGAGTAATTGTTATTAACTAAGAATTGTTTGATACGAGGAAACTCGGTTTTTATGAAAAATGTCTACATAAAAGCCCAAAAGACCATTGAGTGTTTTTGCTAGTTGATAGGTGGGTGTGAGGCATTGAGAATTAATAGATTTTAATGGATTGTTTGGTTTGTGGGTTTTTGATGTTTAAAATTTTTTTATATATTTAAATAATTTATGTATATATATATATATATATATATATATATATATATATATATATATATATATATATATTATTACTGTATTTATTAGACAACACCATTTTAATATGAAACCAACTTTATTTTTATTAATGTTTTATATTTATTCAGTCATTTATTGTGTTAACTACTTTTAACAGGAATGTTATGACAATAATTTCTAATTTGTTTTACATCAATTTCATCAATCATTATGTTTAATTTTTAGCATTAATTTTACCTATTTTAATTTATTAAATTATATATCTTAATTCATTTCATTCATATTAATTAACATTATTAACACAATCAAGCAAATTTTTCAAAACCGACAGTTGCACATGTTAGTTGGTCCGACAGTGTACAATCTCCAGTGAATTACAAATTTCGATAATTTAACGCCCTACGTATCTAAAAAAAATGTGCAAGAGTGAACTCTCCGATTATTAACAATACGAATAATATGACAGCGCAAAGAACCACAACAATTGGTAAAAGACAAGCAGCCCGGTCAAAGATATCTGCGAGCAAAGTAATACAAAACAAAAAAAATTCTATCACATCAGCAACGTCAACAGATGTACCAGTGATAACATAATTGAACACTTGAAATTGGTGGATGTAGAATTTTTTTCATGCTACCCTGCTCTAAAGAAAAGTTATGCCCAGGCACTTGTAAACAAAGACCAATCTACATCTTTTAGACTTTGCGTTGATAACAAATTTGCCAACATAGTCGAATCTGCCGATGCATGGCCTGAACACGTACGCGTTAGAGAATGGCTTTTCAACACTAATTTAATGGACAACAATAATAAATCAATAATCAATATTGATAATGGTAATAATGATGGTATTAATAATGGTGGTAGTAACAAAGGTAGTAATAATACTAATCAATAGATGTAAACTTCAATTTGATGAACAACAAATCAATTGTTTTCAACAGCAAACTTTGACGCCAACAACAAGCCACTAAACGATAGTACTAAATCAATAGATAAATCTGAAGACAACACTGTACAAATGGACAACAACAACACCGACAACCATGAACACACCACATATTAATTTTGGATCTATTTCGTCGAATCTTTATAATAATTCATATTTTACTATAAATGATTTTCATAATAATGTTATTAAATCTTTTGATACTCATTGCTGCAACAATCTTTCTATTCTACACATAAATTCACGTAGTCTTCCTAATAAAATGTCTAATTTGCAAATTCTATCCAATCATTTGTGTAATTTTTTTTAATGTAATTATTATTAGTGAAACGTGGTTAAATGACGCTTCAGCTAAATTAATCAATCTTTATGGATATAACTTTACTTTGTTTTTAGAAATAGGGCTAATCGTCAAGGTGGTGGAGTAGGTATCTTTGTGAAAAATAATCTTGTTTTTAATATTTGTAATGACTCAATTTTTAATGACCATAATTTTTAACTGTTGATATATTATGTATAACTTTAAAACCTGATCATACTTCTGCTTTTAAACCCTTCAAAGTTATTGCTATTTATCGCCCACCTAATACAACAACAACACGTTTGGACGGCATTTTCCCCGAGATCGGGGGTTGCCGTTTGGCTACCTATGATGAAACCGAAATACCCCTCGACTCCATCCACATCTGTCACTCGCCTCAGTATCACGCAACCCCGCTTTCACCCTGTCCTTCTCCACCTGCTCTCTCCATCCCAATCGCGGACGACCCCTTCCTACCACTCCTTCAACCTCGAACTCCAACGCTCGCCTAATCCCGACCCTTTCATCCCTTCTCAACACATGTCCATACCACCGCAATCTCCTTATCAATGTCACAATGTCCTGATTCAGTCCCATCATCGACATCAGCTCTGTACTACTCCTCATATCCTTCACTTTAACCCCAGACATTATCCTCACCATAGCTCTTTCAGCCCTCTGCAGTACATTTTCCTCCTCTCTCCTCAACACCCAAGTTTCACCACCATATACCATCGCTGCTCTCACACATGCTTTATATACCCTCCCTTTCATCTTCACTGACCATTTCTTTCCACACAATACCCCACCCAGTTCCCTAAATTTCATCCATCCCACACGAACTCTAGCCGTAACTGCGCTCAAACATCCTCCATCCGCATTCAGCTTATCCCCTAAGTAAACAAAGCTTTCCACTCTTTCAATACCATCACTCAACCCCGTCCTTGCGTCCGTCCTATTAATCACACCATGAACACATTTCTTACATTTGAACGTGCCTTCCACCTTTTTCAGTGCCCCCCTCACACCACTACATCTCTTATGCACCCATTTCTGACATCCTATAGCACAATACCGAGTTAGCCTTCACTCTCCTATCACATACCCCACAGGGGTCTATTTTACTTATCACTCGTTCCTCACCTTCACCACTCACCATTACCTTCGTCTTACC